TATGTAATATTCAAATGGAGGGTATTTTTGATATGAAATTTGCTTAAAGGCTATTTTGGAAAACTAAGGCCCTGTTCTCTTTATTGTTTTCAGGCCGTTTTCTGTTTTCAATTTTTCAAAACAGTGAAAACGTGTTCTCTTTCCCGTTTTCGAAAACGAAAAAAAAAATTGTGAAGAAAACACAAAACGACTTTTTTGTCGATTTGGGCGTTTTCAGTGTAAAATTTGAAAAAATTAAAAATGCAGGAAACACACATTTCTTTCATTTTTTTTTTTGGAGGAGGTGGTGTGGTGATTCTCAAAATTTTTTAAAAAATAAAAAATTAAATTTTTTTTTAAGTGGTATTGTGGTGATTCTCAAAATTTCAAAAAAAAAAAAAAATTCATTTTTTTTTGTTTTGAGAAACTAACAAAAAGAACGCATTTTCAACAATTTCAAAACAAATACTCAAAATGAATTCAAAACTCAAAACACAAAATTGAAACACAAAAAGAACACCCCCTAACCCTTTTGAAAAGGTCATTTCCATGTATTTTCCATTTATCCGTCGGTTGAATGGGAAACATAGTTTTTTAAATTACTTTTTACTTTCTAGAAAGAATAATTAAAAGGTTAATTCTGAACTGAATTTATGGTTCCACAACTCAAAAGTATACAGAGAAAAACAAAAATTACTTAGAAGTTAAAAACACCAAAAAAGAAAAAAAAGCCAAAAGTTTTTCAACCTTTTCATCTTCTCCATCTCTCTCACCTGTCCATGTCTCTCTCTATTGTCACTTTCCATCAACAGTCTCCTCACTCTCCCCAACCCCATCCACACAATCCTTCACACATAGTCGGGGGACAATGATGCATTAAATGCGGGAGTCATAATTTTGGTTTAGATTCCTTCCTATGTTGGGATTTTCTCTTCCAATTACACGCAGATAGATCATCCATAAACCTCATGTGCTTCATTTTTGGCTCTAATTTGGGCTTTGTTTTGTTAATCTATTACTGGGTTTACTTGCATTTGATCTTTTGCATTTTTTGGGAAATACCCTTTTCAAGCCGTGTCTGATTTTTATTTATTTATACTTATTTTGTGTTTTTGTAAAGATTTTTTTAACTGTTTTACTTCATACCCAGATTGAATCAAAAAACAATTTGACAAGAAAAACGAATACAGTTACTGGATTTTTGTGAAAAGTCAATATTAGTTCAGAGGATTTACTTTTGGAGGTAAAAAAATGGAGGGGAGAATGAACAAGTATAGCCAAGTTAGCCCTGAAAGAGCAAAAGTATGGACAGCAAAATCGCCCAAATATAATTACAATCACCACTATAATCGGCAGCAGAATACTGGAAAAGTTCCTGTAGTGTATTATTTAAGTAGGAATCGACAATTGGAGCCTCCACATTTTATGGAAGTCCCCCTCTCTTCCCCTGATGGGCTCTTCTTAAGAGGTACTACTCGATTTTACTTCTACATATTCAACTCTCATGAATTAATCTGTATTTTGTGGGTTTTAGAAATTTTAAGATTTGGTTTGTTTTGAAGATGTGATTGAAAGGCTTAATATTCTGAGAGGCAGAGGCATGGCTTCAGTGTATTCTTGGTCTTGCAAGAGGTAAATTAAACTGAAAATAGTCCTTGATTTAGTATCTGATATTGTGAATTTTGATTTTCGGGCTTGTTTATCAATACAGAAGTTATAAGAATGGGTTTGTGTGGCATGATCTTTGTGAAGATGATTTGATCCTACCTGCTCATGGGAATGAGTACGTTCTCAAGGGTTCTGAGCTCTTCGAAGAATCTAATTCGGGTAAATTATAATTTCTCTTGGGATTGCATCTCAATGGTATAGTATTTAGCTTTTAAGTACGGCTAGAATCGTTTACACAGGCTTTCGCGAGAGAAGCATGTTTTATAGTTATTCGGCAATGTAGGGAAAGTAAGAATCAATATCAAATCCTGGATTTCTAGTTCTGATTAATTAGTCAAGTCTGTTTATAGCAAATACCATGGAATTTTTAATGTCTAATCACTGAATTACAAAAATACAAGGCTAGTGAACTGTTAGTATTTCAGGTGAAAATGGGTGTTTATTTACAACCTAATGGACGCCAACGAGAAAAGTATCCTTGTGCTTCAGGGCTCAAGATGCTGTAGCGACAATGAAAAATGCACTAATGTAGGCAGTAGTAGAAACTTTGGCCTTTAACATATTACATGCCTTCAAGTAGGAACTAGCCACTCCATGGGTGTTCCATGAAGTGGAAAAGGTTGTTCTTGTGAACAAGTACCTTAAAGAGAAATAGGCGCAGGGAAAGAGCAATGGACTCAACCATTCTGCAAGAACAAAGTGGTCCATACATAACGATTCATCCGTAGTATATATCATTTTTTTTGTCTTTGGTATTTATCAAGGTCTATAGTCATAATGATCCTCCTATTTCAACTGCTTCAACCATTTCTGAGTACCTTAATGTATTTTCTGGAATGAATGAAGATTTGATCATTTCACTATGAGTTCTCTTGCACTGCCCTTCGAGTGTGTTCCAAAAATGAAATCCTCCATTGTCCCATAAACTGATCACGCGAAATTGTAGAATTCAGTTTGATTTTTCTTTCTTCCTAAGCATATGAACCATGAATTTTCTTCTTATGCCTCATCAATTAAATGGATGAATCTTTAAAACTTTTCAAGGAAAAAGTGGTCCCTTGCTATTTCTGATCCTAAGATCTTCCCCCTCTTGTTCAATTAATTGATGATATTCCCTGTTCTTGAGATTGTTTAGTCAGAGATTCTAGGACGTGGATTGAATCAACTGTTAAAAGTTTTGATCTCACACATTTTGGGATTACAATAAAAAGAAACAATGCTTGTGTGACTAAAAGAGGAAAGCATAAATATTCAAGCTCTGTTTCTATTCATCCTTGAGGTTTTTATGGAAGGAATTTTAAAATTATTGTAACTATCATACAATTCTTAAACTATTCTATTTATCGTTTCTTAGGTCGCTTTAGTCCTGTAATAGTACAGAATCCAAAAACATTACCAGAACTACCATCTTGCGGAAGCCAGGATGAATCTTCATCTTCATCTAGCTTGAATGGTAAAACTATGAAGAATTTTCAAGATGATGAACAATCTCCTCCAGTTTATCGTCCGGGTTCATCAGCCGTGTCTCCAGAGTCCATCATTGGTAAAAATTCCTGTTGGAATGGGCCTTTGAGTCTGACACAGTACAAGATCTACAAGAGTGATGGGCTCACTGATGCTTCCACTCTGACTGAGGAAAATTCAAGCAGAGCTGTTAGAACTCAAGATACTCGTACAAGAGGTGTTTCAACTGAAGGTGGGTCGTTTGAACCAGAAAGTGGCAAGACTCCTCAAAACGAGGTTCGTCGGATGAAAGAGACTTCTGAGATTTGCAGAGATTTAGTTTCACCACCTCCATCTACATCCAGTGCATCTTCTTCGAGTGGCAGGATCAATACTTTGGAATCCCTCATCAGTTCTGATGCTAGGAAGTTCAGCAGCTTTAGGATACTTGAAGAGGAAGAATTTCGAATGTCATCCAGTACGAAGTTCAAACCTTCGAATATGCTAATGCAACTGATTTCTTGTGGTTCAATTTCAGTTAAAAATCACAGCTTTGACCTAATTCCAACCTACAAGCCAAAGTTTTCATATTCCAAATTTGCGTCCCCATTGTTCTCAACGTCATCAATGGTGGGAGAGCCTGATTACCTTATGGAGAATCCTAGGCTAATGGGTATGAAACTGGAAGACAAGGAATACTTTAGCACGAGCCTGGTTGAAACAAGTATGCCCGAGGAAAGTGTACCTGCTCTAAAACGATCTTCCTCATACAATGCTGGCAGGTCGGTCTATTATTTACCCGCCTTTTACCTTCTTGAAATATGCATATATGATTGTACCAAATTATGAAGTGCATAGTTTCATGGCTGAACTAAGTGGAAATGCAATTTCTATGATTTCGTGTTACTCCATTTTCAAGAATGATGATTGTTAAGCCAAATCCCATCAATTTCTTTTCCCCCTGGACCATGTCTGTGTGTTTCACAGTGTACGTTGGAACTAATATTCCTGGTCGATCTGATATATGAGATTTTGATGTTTGGAACTCATATTCGTGGTTGATCTAATATATGAGATTTTGATGTTTTACAATTCAAACGAAGGAGGAGTGATCATAGTTGGAGGCGAAATCTCTTGATTTATTTATCGACTGAATTAATATTATCCTTCCTTCGGTATTGATGAAATCATTTGATGATCAAGGGCTACAAAGGAAATTGATTCAGTTGAAGAAAAGGAAGAGGCCAGCTCTACACGTTTGAAGTGCATTCCAAGATCAATCAGGGCTACGCTAAGCAAGCAGCCAAAATGTGAATCAATGAGATCTCCCGTCTCCGAGGGGCCTAGAATCTCATCGGATAGAGTGGAAAGTTCAAGGACCATCATACCCGACACACCTGATTGCAGAAGCAAGAGAACTACTGAGCCTCTTTTGGGAGAAAAACAGTCAAGGAAACAAGATTCATCTAGAGACAACGACGATGAAAATGTAATCAAAATCGAAGAAAGTTAAGTTCAAAACCCCTCTAGATCTTATCACGGGAACTCAACTTACTAGACTAAAGCTCCTTTTTTCATTTATGGACGTTTGAGATTTTCTTTCGCCTTTTT